ATAGATAGATAGATAGATAGATAGATAGATAGATAGATAGATAGATAGATAGATAGATAGATAGATAGATAGATAGATAGATAGATAGATAGATAGATATAGATATAGATATAGATAGATTTTTATGATAATTACTTACAACTGCTTTGAAACATACACTGTGTTCCAACTTTAAACATTCATCCATATAAGAATAAATCAGATGAATTTCATTTAACCCTTCCAAACCATCTTTACCATCCATTATGACCCTCTACATTGATATATCACTATTATAAAAACATGTTCCACATTAAAAGAAAATGTGAACAAATTAAAAATTTCAGGTCTGAACAAAGCAATAAACTGGTCCCGAAAGGCCTGAGGTGACAACTGCAACCAACCAGGGACGCACGTCTGAATTTTATGTTGCCAGACCTTCTCGTGCAGGCAGCCCATATGAATATGCAAATGGTTGCAGTTTGGGGGGGAATGCAAGCTATGCAAATAAAAACATCTCTTTAAGTTACAGCTGTGATACAGTACAGTCCTACATGATCATCCCGCCATGTTTCACTCCCAGTGCCAATGGATTAAACCCCACTGAGATGCAAATGAGCTACACATGAGCAACATATGTGAGCTGCTCAAACCCCGTATCACCCACATTAGAGTTGCATGGTCCATTACTGTTTACAGGAACAAACTTTGAATGAGACAACGGGGGTGCTTGAAAAAACAGAACATGGTACATGAACAGTTTCTATATTAAGCTTTTACATCACTCCCAGGGAAATGCTGTTGCCACATCTCCCTCGCTTCTGAAAAAGCTCAAGGCAATAGCTGCAGCGATAAATTACATGAGAAGATTAAAAAAAAGTTTTACTTCTGTTTTTCCTCAGGCTCAGTTTCCAGTGAAAGCAGAGGATGGGGCAAGAGTGGCAGTGATCTCCAAACTGTCCTCTAATGTGGCTCCCGCTGGGTATTGTTAAATGAACAGCCTCACCCCTTGACACGGCTGCCTGTCCAGATATTGCCGTGCTGTGATTGCAGCTGTATTCTCCAGAAACCACAATTTCCAGAAAATGTTTTTAGAATCTTTTGGAATTTATCTTGGGATCAATCGTTTCTGTGTCTGTGTGAAAAAGCTGTGGATCTGAAATGTCTTCATCTGCATCAGTCCACATAGGAGCGCAGAACCTCTTGGTGGCTAGCCTTGTGAAGTGTGTTGAATGCAAACATGCCATGTACATGCACTGTACCGTATATTTGTCTATGATAGATTCACAATGTTTAGATTTCATTTTTCCAGCATGAAGTTGCTCTGTCTAGAGAAGTGTCATGTTACATGGTGATAGATACAACCAGTCATGCTATTTTGTGACAATTCACTGCTCTTCAGCTCTTCGCTGAAAGCATACGAGTCTTGATTGATCAGTTCCACTGAATATTATAACATGTGTTTGTCAAACACAATGAGCAGCCACTCACAGTCCAGGCAAAAAATATTATGTTGGTTTTGATTTTGAATCGATAATGTGTCCAGTTTGAGCATTCAGGGTGGTTACAGTGAATACCTTGACCACTTACTGACCTGACACTGTGGCATTTTGAGCAATTGTAAAACTCGATGTTAGTTGGCAAAAACAAAGTATATTAGCACAGCCAGTTCAGGCACAGGGTTAATATGATGGTGCAATCATGCAGTACATTCTTGGTGTATTTCTATAGTGACCTTTTAAACATTAATGAAGATCGAGACAGAAAAATAAACCTGTTCAGATAATTATTTAGCGGATTTGATTGCAGTCTAAGGACGTGCAAAACTTTGTAATTTATTAAAAAGGGAAATGTAATTATTCTTCATGTTTCTGTACGGTCTTTGTGGAGTTTCGTTGCCACAAACAATACAGAAATGAGTGAACCAGAGGTGTGGAGAGCTCTGTGAAAACAAGTGCTGACTACAGAACATATTGAGATTGTATCTCAATGTGTGGTTCCAGACTGGCTGGAGAGGAGCAATGACTCCAAAAAGCTCTGACTATTAATCATCTTGAGAAGCCTGTATGATAGGGGCGAAGCCAGAAGGAATGCAGTGAGGGGGAGGTTGGTGTCTGCACAGCATGCTTGATCAGACCAACAAATCAAACCACAGCAGGGACACAAGTGGTGGCTACCTACACTATCAGCGCAAAGATACCCTCTTTCTGCATCCAAACAAATGATTTAGGAATTAAACTGGGCTCTTTTGGCTTAGATCAGAAGAGACCACCCCTACGCCAGCCTTTCCACCTCTCCCTCCCAACATACCCCAACAACAGTCACACACAGCAGCTGGAGTTATTAATTCTCACTGAGAGGCAAAAATGGAGCTTCTTCTCTGCCACCAATCACAACATTCATGACCCTAGTGTTCACAGGATCAGGAGATGATAAATCCTTCCCCCCAGGGACATTATTTAATGCATACAGTGACCAAGAAACAATGAAAAAGGCATGTGCTCTGAGTAAAAGGTGGTGAGAACCACTGAAATGATGTCCAACAACATCAAACCGAAACAGGACACACTCACACATCGGTCACTGACTATACCAGTCCATTGATCTGTTCCTGACTGAAATTACTAGCTTCATTAGCATCACATCACACATTACAGATTAATGTTCACATAATCATAAACCCTTTTACTCCTATGGTATTCCTGTTTGATGACATCATCAGATTGAAGCTCTGCTGTACTGTTCCCTATTAATTATACCGTAATTGTCAGGATGTCTTTTCTCTCAAACAAATGGACTGTTTAGTTGTTTATCTGTAGTGCTAACATCATTAAAATAATTTTATTCAGACTCATTTCATTTGAGTACTTGGTTTGATGCTTGTCTCCATCCGAGCTTGTTCATCAGCAGTCAGAATACATTGAATGCAAATTAAAAAAAATATTTTTGCCTAATGGAGATGTATAAAAAGACAGTCTAAGTCTAAGTCTAAGTCTAAGTCTATAATGTGCAGGTGATTGTTTTATTTTAGCTTTTTTTTCAAACAGAGCTAATCATAATTATAAATGATTTGCTTCCATTACTCTTGTAATAACTTAAGCGTTCATCTATTGAATAGATGTAATGAAGGAATATTGGAAGTACTGTACTGAAAATGTGGTTTACCATCCCACAAAAACCTCTGATATAAGACCCATGGTGTCACTTCTATCATTTTTTCATTTTATACAGCACTGAGTTTAATTTATCTTATAGACCGGAGGAAAACTTAGATAATTATTACTGTTCCTCTCATGAATGTGTCACAGTAGAGATAGAGGGCAGAATAATTCCACAGCTGGATGGGACTCTACTGTGCAATTTAGATAGAAAGGAAGCCAATAAGCCACATTTGACTATCCATGGGATACTCCTGCTCAGATGAGAGATTTTCCATTCAAGTGTGTCACAATAGTTCTAGCCTCAACATATTAATTCTCAGCCCAGACAACATGATCTAATAGACAGAAGAATGACTTACTACTCAGTCCAAATGAATAGTCAGCTTCTTTTTGCCGCAGACAAATTTTTAATTACCCAAACCAGCATGTCTTCTTGTCTTGACAAGATTCTGTGATATTTATACCCACTGACAACTTGCTCTTGGATGGTGACTAGATTTTGGAACAATCGTCTTAAATTTTGATTGTGAAATTAATCATGTTTAAAAATGAGCATTTTTCATCTTGAAACCTGAAAGACTGTACGTGTATTAGACTTTGTGACTCAACCCAGAAGTAGCAGTGTGGAAGCAAATGCTTGCTTACATACCTTTCTGATTCCTGCTCAGGTGACTGAGGTTTGGCCTCAAATCCGGGGAGGCTGCTCATGTCCACATAACCGTCCGTCTCATTGGCCGCAGACAGGACTCGACCGGGACGGTCAAAGAAGTCTGTGAGGGGCAGCTGCCGGACAGGTCTCCGCTGTGGCACCTGAACATTCTCGTAGTCGGAGCTGATGGCTGGAACATTTTCGTAGTCTGAGGTATCTGTGTTGGGGAAGGAGATGGAGCGAGGTTTGGTGAGGGGAAGAGGTATGAAAGGCACACGGGAGCGATCTTCGAAGGACTCCACACGGACAACGCTGCGATTGAGGAAAGCCACAGAGTTCCCTTTCCTTTTGCTCTCTTCGTAGAACAAGAAGGTGGACGTCAGCTCAGGGGACACTTGAGGCCTGTTCACCAGACGGGAGCTCATCTGTGGAGAACTACTGACGCTGCGTCTGTCCAAATCCAGCAGTCTGCTGGCTGTGCGATGGTTGTACCCAGCTGAGGACTCACAAGAGGTTGGTTTGATATCCACCCGAGGCTTATTGTCCGCTTTTCTTCCGAATTTGAGCATCAGGAAGCGCTTTAAAGAGGATTTCTTTTTCCTGCTTTTGTCTGACAAGTCTCCCCCAGTGAGAAGCGAGGGGGAACTCTTTGTAATGGGCTTCTTGGTGATGTAGGCCAGCTCAAATGGAGGAGGAATGTCCACCAGAGATGTCGGCGTGGACAGAGCACTGGATGACAAAGGTGAGAAGCTTTCAGATGGACAAACAGCATCTCTCTGCCTCTGACCGAGAGAGCCGTCCCTGTAGACACAAAGAGACGTGTCCTTTCCCTCCATGGAGATGGAACGAGGATACAGGGCTAAATAGTGCGGTTTTGAATAGCTCTTGTGCCGCGTTGAGCTTAACATTGGGCTGCTGCTCAGTGCAGGTTGTCCAAATCCACTCTTGTAGGACTTTTGGAGAAGCTGCACTCCTACATCCTCAACATTATTAGTAATCCGGTGCGACAAGGACTGTGATCGAATCCCAGTGGTCTTTCTATCAAGAAGAAAAAAGTTCTTAGCATGCAAATCTTGCCCTGGCTCCTCATAAACATGCTCATCACTGGTGTCCTGCTCCATTTCAGTCGTCTCATCAAGAAAGGGCACAATATGACCATCCAGGTCGTCCTCATCTCTGAAGACATCAGAGTCATTTGGGGACAGCAGTTGGCTTCCTGAGAGAGATGAAGTCAGCGAAGTGTCTGTGTCTGTTGGCACTGAGACGATTACCTGCCTGAACCTCAGTGGGCAGTCCAACTCATTCAGCACATCCTCCACTTCTTCGGGTTTGTCATCCTCAGTTTGGACTGATGGAATTAGAGATACCTTTATATCATTGTCATGGCTTTTGCTATACTCATCACTGCCACCCAAGTAGTCCTCAATTTGTCCATTTTCTTCTCTTTTCTCACATTTCCTTGCTGCAACTCCAATTCCATTTAAAGAAGGTAAACTAGTCACCGTGAGCGTAGTTTCTGGCCTCAACTCTCTGCTAATAATGTCTGTTGAACAGATGTAAAAGGGCTCATGAGCTTTTTCTTCCTCTGAGTCGGCATGTCTCCTCTTTGAATCACAGTTCTGATCCTGGTTTTCATACCACTTTTCCCCCTTTTCATTCATTCTATAGCCACACTTTAACTGTAGGATGTTACACGTGAAGCCACAACCAAGACCCGCTTCTTCTTCTTTCTCTTCTTCTTCATCATCTTCTGTTATGTTTCCTTTGACAAGGATGCCAGGCAGCTCTTCTGTGAGAGACTCAGTTAAATCATCTGCTGTTCCATCCTGCCTGATCTGAAGCTTTTCCTGCTTTGCATCCTGACTATAAGCAGAATAATAGCGTGCATCCTCATCTGCGCTATTAACAGAAATGCTTCCCACAGAGAGGCCGTCAGTGTCAGCCAGCGCCTCGCCTGCATCGCAGACTTCATAACCCATGTCTTCTGTCACATCTGCATCAGTTCTCACCTCGACCTCCTCCAGGTCCGCTTTGAGTCTGGCATCACTGACCCAAAGGGTTTCTAGACAGTCAGCTTCTTTGGTTATTCTCCAATTATCATTCATTTTTTTAATAACATCTTCCTCTTCTCTCTCTTTATTTTCCTCCTTGGCCTCTTCTCTCTCTGGGTGCCTCTTGGACACAGTCTGTACATCTGTTCGTGTGCATTTGAAAATGTTGGTGGCATGTTGTTTCTCTGTGGACACTGTGTCTATGATCACTTCGTTTCGACCATTCAGAGTCTCACGATCTTCCTCAACCTCTCCATCTGAGGTAATTGCACTCCCATCACTGAATTCTTCCTGGTTGCCATTTAGCAGATCTGTTACTCTAGGTTTTGGGGCTATAAAAGGTTTAGGTCCCCTGGCTCTAGATGAGAGAGGGGAGGACAGCTTGAGATTGGCGTGACAAACAAATCTTGGCTTTGGAGCAACAGAAGGCTTGGTGCAGTCTGAAAGAACAACAGGAAAAGGAAATTGTTAGATTATGTTCTTTAAAATAGCTTACAGGTCATTTGAGCGTTGTTCCTGTAACCTAAACTATTAAAACGCCCACAAAGTTTTTGAAATGGTGCATGAAGGAACCATTGATATCTAAGGTTGGACTTTGAATGTGAACAATATTCAATGAAGTACTATGTTCCAATCATTGAGGTTGCCAAAATAGAAAGGCCCAGGTCAAGCATGGCAAAGCATATATTGTTGTCCAATATTGGATGTGAGTAAACATTCACACTTGGTCAAACTGTGCTGGCTCCAGTCTGGGTGCTGAACCTAAACCTGGTTCCCATCCAAATTCTGGTTGCCACACACTAGCTGGCAAAATGTTCAAGTTCCCAGTCCAAGTAAAGCTTGAATCCACTCACACAAGACCTGACCAAATCTGGGAACCATTACAGGCCGACTGACTTTTGGTGAGTAGATGCCAGAACACAGCTGTATGCCCGCAATAAGCCTCCTGGGCCAATGCATATTAGCAAAATGATTTACCTTCCACAAACTCTCTGTCCAGTTAAACAGGCTAAATCTGGTGCTATGAAAATATGATAAAAGACTTTTAATGAGTAATGAATACTTGAACGCCCTTCGAAAAAGAATACAAAGAGGTCTGAGGGATTTCCCTGACTCACTTCCTGCGATTCAAATGAGAGAGACCCCTGTCAGAATGCCTTCTTGTTCAAGAACACTTCTTATGGAATAAGGGATACGCGGTTAAATAAAATCTAAAATTAAACTACAACATAAAACACCATGGGGTGAGATTAAACAGGATCAGCGTGGAATCAATGTTTAGGCAATTATTCTGAATCACAGTGCTTTGATACACAATACAACACCAAAAAAGTGCTTCCATGATTCCACAAACTTCAGGCAACTTGATTTCTTTTCTTTGTCTTTTTGTCACTAATTAGTATGAATTACTTTGACCTTTATTATATTAGTTGGCAATTAAATAGGCTACAGTTTAGACACTTGTTCTCGTTTTGAAATTAAAATAGAACCACTGGCATGGCTAGAATCTTTTTCCTACTGAGGGATCCGTTGTCTTTTGACTGGAATGTGAACAGAATAAAGAACTCAAAGCGGATGGGATGGAAAATTACGATATCCCCCCCTACATTGCTTTCTCATATAATATAGCCACCAATAGAGAGGACGCAAGCAAGATGATATGAACTATTGTGCTACTTTAAAAAAAAGTAATCTCACCTGTGTTCATGTTTGCCAAGAGATCATCTCCAACATCCCGCCTCGCGACGCAGCACACTTGGAAAAGAAAGTAAACAGATTCCGTCAGATTTGTTTTTCTAAACTGTGCAAACGGAGAGAGGGTGGCGGAGGCTGAAAACGGCTCTGTCCGTTCCTCTGAAACGCTGCTCAGCTGATCCACTGTGCGTCCTCCGGCGCGCAGGACGCGACTGGAAACCAAATGCAGAGGCTTGATCGGCGCCCTGATAAAACACACACCGTCTGTTGCAGATGCAGGTCCAGTCAGAGGCTGAAAACATCCTTTACCGGAGTCAAATTCAGTCTGATTAGCAGATTTCTAGTCCATCGGCGCAGCGATAGGGCACATTTCAAGGCTCCAGATGATAGGACGTTTAAGCTCTGTGGTAATCCCATGACCCCGATTTAAAATGTCACCAGTCAATATGAACTTTTAACGAAGATCCCTTTTCAGATAAATCATATGAAGAATATACAGTCGAAGTCGTTTTTAAGTGAGCTTTGTGTCAAGTGTGAAACTGATTGCCCTCTGAATGGTTATTTGATTCATTCCCGCAGCTTCAGAGAAAGCCAACGTTTAAAGGAGCAGCTTTTGCGCAGCCTCAATGCATTCGAGTTTGACTACCCACTTAATTAAAATCAGACTTAAGGATTTAGTAACCCTCATGTGGATTGGTCTATAAGAAAGTGAGAATCCACTGGGATCTGATTCAAACATCACTACAGTTTTTTAATCTTAATTTCTCTATATTTAGCGAATTATAGCCAATTGAACTGTCACAACATGGAAGGGTATTAAGAGCTTATGAAGCATTATTCTGCAGCCTCATTTATTGCCTTTATCAGAGTAATGGGTTATGCCAAAACACTTTATATAGTCATTGAATTTTAAAAAGCTGTTTTTACACTAAAACAAAGCATTCGTACACCACAGCTTGCACTGGGTATGTAGTCATTATGAAATTATATCTCTGGTTGAGGTTAAACGTTGCCTTGGTCTAAAGTCAGGTCTCCTGCATTGATAAACCAGCCTTGTTTCCCTGTACGCCCATCTGTCTGTGTGATAGCTGCACAACAGGCTCTTTTTTTATTGCAAAACAGGAAACTGCTCTCCCTGTTTCCTGCACAACCCAACTTCACATCCTTAGCAGCTCATGGACACAATTTAACCCCTTCACTGTGACTCAGTAGTGAAGAAAAGAAGGCTATTTTTATTCCTGAATTGTGGTCATCATGTGAATAACCATTACGCTAAAATATATGTGCTCACACAGCTTTAGGGATGATCAGCACAGCAAAAAACTAAAAAGAAGGGGGTCAAGGACTCACTCCAAACCTGACAGAACCAACTACAAACCTGTTTGGTATTTGCTGCTATTTACTTTAATAGATGGTCTGGCCTCTCCTGCAAAAGTGCTCACTTTTCAGATTATAAATCACAAGCAAGATTATCTGTCAATCCGGTGTTACAGTGAACCCTGTGTTTAAAGGCAGTCTGTTCTCCAGGTACTTAATATTCTAATTTCATACCTTCTGAACATCATCATTTTGCATCATCACTGTCAGCCTTTATTACGCACCAGTAATTTTCTCATCTATAAAATGATGTACGTGTGGACGGCAAAGGGCTCCAAATGCCACGGACACCAGCATATTCCTTTCAGTATTGGATTTGTGAGAGAACCACTCAAAGAACTGTGACTCAAACAGACATGACTCAAATAGATGACAGAACACACATGGAATCATTCTGGTGTTGTGCTCTGCACTAAGAAGAGGCTTTCAATACAACACAGTGATGAATGCATCACACCTAAAGGTCAAAAATCAATCCCTAGCTTCAGCAGGTTACCAGTCTGCCCCCAATTGACGTACGATTGTTGTTCTTGTTGGAAGGGCTCACTGATACATTAATAAACAGCTTAACAACAAAAAAAAGAAAAAAGTATACTTCAAATGTAGAAATGTAGAACTGTAGCTTTAAACCAATACCACCATAAATGTGCTGTGATAACAAAGGTGTTTGGCTCATTGAAAAACATTATGTGGCTACACCTTTGGCCCTGTTTTTGTTGGCGCAATAATTGTGTTTTCACTCTGAGTCAATAAAGGCGAGCAAGATAAATCGCTGTATGTCTGCGCCAAGCAGTAATGAAAGATCAGCTGAGAAACATGAATATGAACACATCTTTGATATGAGGAGATGTTCTCAGACAGAAAAACCACACACACAATCAAAATGACTGAGGGATTAAGTCTGGGATTTTTCACTGTAAATAAATAAATAAAAATAAAAATTATATATATATATATATACATCAAACCAACTATGCTCAGCACTTTACATGCTGCCTAACCTGCTTAAGGCAAAAGCCAATTTCCTAAAACAGTGGGACATAGCTCCAAACTGTATGCTTTTCTCTTTTCCAAAACTTTTTTGGGTGGTGTTGGACTTCCAAATGTGTTTCCATTGTTTTCTATCAAGTTCATTCCACCTCAACCAATGCAAGCTGATCTCATTGGTCTGAATAGAAAGTATAGTGGAGTCAACAATGTATTCATGTAAAGGATTAAGGAAGGATCAACAGAAAAGAGCAGACTCATTTCTGTTTGCCTTATCGTTTGACTTGGTTCCATGTTCCATTACCATCTTACGGTAACATGGTTTACATTTGATTGACTCAAAATAGAAAATGCTAATCCAGAACACGGACGGGCAGTTGGAAATCAAGGCTAAGCATCTGGAGAAGGAAATGAATTATTTTCCAGCTTTAAGGTCGCTGTTGCTGCAGGGTGCTCAACAAATTCCTTAAGATTAACTTTTATCATACATGAAAGGTGGCCTCATCTACTGTATTAATAAGCTGAAATCCCCTTGTGTTAACGCATCAAACAAGGATTATGCTCTTGTGCAAACATTTCTGGACCTAACTGTACATTGGTCCTGCACAGTGACAGGTAAAGGATTAGGAAAACAGTCTGACCCCTGAGGTCCATCTCTGTCTGCGTGTCTCCTGTTTGCGTCAAGCGAGGAAAGAGCGCGTCTGCTCCTCTCTCCTTCTCTGAGGTGAAACAATAAGACTGCGGCTTAAAAAAGGAACTCCATCTTGATATACTCCTTCCTGTGACTGTTTTCAACTCTTTCAGCAAAACTGGAACGCAGAGGGTGTAGCCACCAAACTTAAAGGATAATTCTAGTTATTTTCAACCTGGGGCTCATTGTCCTGCCGGGTTACATCATTTAGAGTTTATGAGGAGAAAAATGTCACTTGTTTCACTCAGTCCTTTTAGTAGACATGAAGAGTAGCACTTCTGCTGTACTCTACTATTGTGTTTACAGGTTTTCTTTAAACCTTTTAATAATGAATATTTTTAACCTATATTACTTTTTTTTTTTATTTTATTTTTTTATTTAGTTTTATTTAGTTATAAACAAGTTATCCTGCAATGTGCTTTAGACACATCTAACTAATTTTAAGTTATTTTGTTGGTCTTTGGATGTTAATTCGGAAAACTTTGAATGAAAACAATTGAACAATGTGTTTATATGCGTTTCATTGGTGTTTATAGGTCTACTCACCCGACAGATGCACAGTCTGGGATAGGAAAATATTGTTGACTGTTCTGCTTTTGCTCACATTTGGTACTGAAAAATTTTTAAATTATGGAACCCGTAGGTTGCACAAGTCAACTGTGGTGGCATTGGCGGTCTAAAATTAGTT